CTTGTATAACCACCTAAGTGTAGCAAAACACCTCTTAATTTTCTGTTTATAAACTAATTTAAGTCTAGCTACCATTAATTATAAAAGGGGAAAAAAGGGGCCCAAAATTACTAGTTTTTAATTTATAGATAATCAGATAATTGAACAGATAACTGGATAACTTTGCAAATTACCAAATAACCTTGCAGATAACCTGAAAACTATTTAATAACAAATATCCTAAGGATACTAGAATAATCTTGTTAGTTACAAGCATGTTTTGCATTGACATTTGTGGTATTATATTTGCGCACATTGTATTTTCAAACTTTTATTTATACATAGCATTGTATTTTCACTACTTTTATACAAAAATATTTTCAAACAAATAGAAATTATTTAAATTTTTTATTTACTATACAAATAAAAAATGTTTATGCCATAGTACCATGCTAAAATATATGTAATTTACTCTTAATATTTCTAAAGTTATTACTAAATATACTAAGCATTAGGTGTATTGTGCATTGTTATGCATTGTAATCTATGCATTACATTGCTAATTTAATATAGCACTCAGGAATCCAGAAAGAATGTTCTATAGAATAGGTGAGCAATATAAGAAATAAGCTTTACTAATGATTAGTAATCATTAATTTTTTAATATCGGAGTTGCGGAGTTGGCTAAGTTTGCCTACCTATTCTATAAAACATCCTCTAGAAACAAATTCAGGATGTAGTCTTCTGCATATATTTAATGAAAAATTTTTGACAGAATAAAAATTCTAAACCAGCATAAAGTATAACACCATAATTTTACCTTTTAAATCATTTTTTAAACAATTCTAGATCCTTGATATAAAGGTTTTCTAATTTTTCTAATATTGCCCATAAAAAAAATGCAGTATATATTATAATTAAAGCTCAGAAGCATGATAATAAAGAGCCATTCTAGTATCAGCTATAGCCAACATGATGTATATCAAAATTTCATTTTACGATCAACACTAATGATATTGATTTTTGTTAATTACAAATTTCTTGCAGATTAAATAAATCCTTTAATGCTATTGCTATATATTATGAAACTATAAATTAAAAAATGAATTAGTTCAAAGATGTATTTAAAGCAAACAAAATAAATAATGATTTAATATACTTTAAAAATTAGAAGTCATCAAACTTTTATACCATTCGACCTAAGTTGCAAAAAAATATTGTACTAAATCCTCTATTAATTGTTTTTGTTCAAATAATAATTTGGACTATTTGGAGTTAATATATTTAATGGGCATGACACTTTTCTTAGCATTCAATGATGATAGGTATATTCTTATCTTGAAAATGCAATAATAGCTCATATTAAATTTTTAAAAAAAATATTAATTTGGCTATGACGCAGCTTACTGCACATACAGACTTTATTAGTTATGATTAGATTTTATTGCATATATTCCAGATTTAACTAATATCTGAAAAGATGCTTCTGACAGTATGCTAATTATTTCTCAAAAATACTAAATGCTTGAAAGTTGTAGATAAAAGCAATGTTCTTTTTGTTGTCATTATATTTCTAGCATTGCTAAAAGTCTTTTGCTTGCAGTTGATGTTGCTAGTATTTTCGAGCTAACTTACTTAATATAAAGTATCGATTTCGATTATTACTCCACCAAGTTAGTAGATACTGATTCTATGAAAGTTCTTGTATTCCAAGATAATCTGAAACCTCTAATTGCAGAATTCTATTCTGAAATATTGAGGCCAATAAAGTGTTCAGATTGGTTTGTAGATTGTTTTCCTCTTCTTCTGTTCGATATAAAATCTGCGCTTCTTAATATTCAGCTTTAAGCAATTTAACTGTTCTTTTTTTTAGAGATCCTAATATAAAAGAAAGAGCTTTACATCAAGAATCCAAAAGTATTACTAGTATGGCATTATCGCTAGACACATCCCAATAATGTTCCATAGCACTATATAATGCTAATTTTATTCTTGCTTCAAGATTATGACAATTTTGTAGATTATTATACTAATTCGTTGTTTTTGATTTGACATATAGTTTTCCTTATTGTTTTTACAAATAACATCACCATCAAAAATGTCTTTAGAAGAATCAAAGTTAATATCTAAGGTTTTATTAAACAAAAGCCCCTATTTAATTACTGTAATTGCATCATATATAAAACTAATAGTAGTATATTTGCTATCTCCTAATAGATCAGTATCTTCAACAAAAGGTCTTAAAGCTGTAATTAATAAAGTAATTGCATCCCATTTGTTATGTGTTAGATTAATTTTTTCTAAATGAAGGCCATCTTTCCAGTTTGTGCTATTATTATCTAATACTAAATTCATTATATCTTAAATTTTTATAAGCTGTTAACACGAAAAGTAAGATGAATTCCACTTTGTAGAGATGTTAGCTATAATTCGTAGTTGATGGTCATTATCTTCTAAATTCTAAAATAATTAAATAATTAATTTCTATGCTAGTAATTTATATACAAGATAAAATACCTACTATATTTTCAAGTTTTTTTTATGCATTTATTAATCTTTCTGTTTGTTTAGGTGTGGTAAAAAACAACATAAGTCATTTGGCCTATGCAATGAGAAGTTTAGCATCTAACAACCCTTTTCCAATAATAAGCTGCAAGATATAAGCTGTATATAGGATTCAAACAATAATTAGTAAACATCTTATAGCCTTGACCATATTACTTCTGTTGTCCATAGTGATTGTTAAAACTTTATTTGTTAATCTCTACTCATCGATTATAAGATTTAATGCCTTTGCAATTAATTCTCCATCATGTGGATAAGGCAAATATTTAATTGCAAAAACTAGCTTATTTAACTAAAAATTATTGTTAATAGACGAACACATTACTCCTGTTCAAAGGTTATAGGTCAAAGAACAAGACATAATGTTATTATAAAGCATTTTTTTAAGACTTTCTTTCAAATATAGAAAGCTATTCATAAGCAATTTTGTGGCAGAGTTTTTTATTAGGTAACTGATAATTCAGATCAAACTCTTCCAAAAATTCAGAAAAGCCAACTCCTTCTCTTAAATTAATAGGCAATTGATCCTTAACTAACATGCTAACAAACTTTGATCTCACCTTGCCTTTCATTTAATATCATTTGCTACTAGTCCTTAAAATATCTGATCAAGTTTTGGTTATATAGATTGTTGTTGTTTAAGCTTTTGCTTATATAATTCTTCCATAATTGCATATCATAAAATTAAATGTGCAATAAAGTTACTTGTTAAAGTGTCTGTTAATCCCATTAAATGATCATACTGATAAGTTCTATTATTCTTATTGACTTCAACCAAACAACTAACTATCCTTTTATAAGGCTACACAGATTTATATAATTGATAATAACTCCATATTCAGCTATTTTCTGATACCTTATTAATAGATACAATAATTGAAGGTGTTTAAGGTTAGATTTGAAAGGCTTCTGATTAGTATTAAGACTCTTTTCAGATAATATATTACTAGTTACTTGACTGTTATCATCTTCAAAAATGTTTTCATTACTTATTGTTTCTGCTAATGTATTAGTTGTGCTTTCACTCGTTTTTCTTTTCTTTTTTATGGTATCTTTAGAAGTGCTTGCACATTTTTTCATTTGTTTTACAAATAAATCATCACTACTAGAGTATTTTCCTAGCCTAAAATTACTATCATCAAGGTCAGTTACATTTTTTTGCTCTATATGTTCCATGTTTTTTGATAAAAATATCTTTTTGTATAAAACTGATATATAATGAATTATACATATAGTTTTATAGCTTTTTAGTCAACAATTTAAAAAAAAGTACCTATAGATCAAATTATGATCTTAAAAATATATAGTCATTATGACCTTAAATCATAATGATAAGAAAAAAATCATTGAAAATTATAAAAAAAAGTAAAAATATTGATTTCATATTATAATAATAGTGAAATCTGAATTTTTTGTATTTTTATACTTCCTGAAATTTATTATGTATATATATATAGATGTATAATGCACTTTATATAGAATAAATATCAACTAATACATCAGAGATAAGATAAATTCAGTAGCTACTTATTTTTAAGTTTCAACAGTATATAAACTAGCATGAATTTAATATATATTTTTATTGTAGTGATATGCAGAATACAAAGTTCATCTATTTTACATTTGAAAATGATACTACTGTGAAGACAACCTAGTCTTGACTAGAGTGTCCAGAAATCTGTGGTGGCAAAATCTGCACAGAATTCTGCTTTTAGCACAGTTAAGCCTGATCTGCTAAAGCAGAATCTGCAAAATTTCCTATTAAATAATTGGTAGGCAAGAATTTACACAAAATTATGCATTAGTGTATGATAAACAATTAGCTTCTATAATAAAATTACAATTTCTTTTGTTTGATTTTTTTTGGGTTTCATTTCTTTTTTAAAGTATTATTTATACTTTACTGCAGAATTTGTCAGTTAGAGCATCAGAATTCTGGACATTCTAGTTCTGACAAACAAATTTGACTAATTTCAAAATGCTAATCCTTGTTTATAAAAATAATAAACAACAAATCTCTTCACAGAACATTAAAACCATGCAAGCTAAACATTTTGATAGTCTTAAAATTTTTTTAAATATATTTTTAATAAAATAGTAGAAAATTAAAGTCAAGACAATTTTATAATTAAACAGGCAATTTGGCTGCTCAAAATATACTATTATACAAGCAAATTTGGCCACTTTTACATATTAAATTTGACTACTCTATATGTTAAATTTGGCTACTTTATATAATAAATTGACTGTGTTAAATTAATAATTTAGCTAAAATTTTAAATTTGGATGTATCATATATAATATATGTTGCAGCTGATGCTGAAAATGGCTGATGCTGAAATTCAGATCTATTTTGATATGAATTTTCAAAATTTTTTCAGGTATTTTTTTCTCAATTTTTTTTATAGTTAAATTAGTGTTTAGGGTTAGAATTGATAATTAACAAATATATGTGGATTTTAGCAGAGCTTAGATTTTTAAATTGAGACTCCAAATTTTAGCTTCAGCCATTTTCAGCATTAGCTGCGACAATATATAAAAATTAAATTTTAAATTTGGCTGCTAAAGATTTTCATTTGTTGAAGCTAGATTGTCCACTCTGTTCTTTAATTTATATCCAGATATCTGCAGTTATCTGCAGATATCCACAAACATTAACAGATATATGGATACCTGCAGATACCTGCTGAATACCTACCAGATTATTCTTTTTAAAATTAACAGATAAAGATTATTATCTATAAGCCATTTATTGTATCTGGATATGTGTTAACCATATGGATATCTAGATAAGAAGATAATGGTTTCAACTTCTAGTAGGTAGCAATTAGTAATATTTATATTGATATTAGCTTGCTAATGTCAATTGAGTATTAATTTAATTTTAGTATAAATGTACAAATTTTGGTTAAAATAATTTTATCATTAAAAGTAATTAGCCATAGTTTAGATTTTTTAGAAATATTATTTATATTATATGCAAATAGGTTTATTCCCTATTGTAGATATTGTAGAAATAGAGTGTAGCTATATTTATCTTTAATAACTATATCTTCAAATATATTAAATCATAAAGGTTTTTTACTCTTTAGTAAAAATCATAGCCTTAGTAAAAGTTGTTGTCATTCAAAGAGACAAATATTATCAGAGGTACAAAGTTGTTCTAGATAAAGTATTTGTAGATTTCTGAGTTGTTTCTTGAATGATTATAAAAATTTTTTTCTAATGGTTGTAAATTATATGAAATTGTATTAAGCTATAAAGTATCAGAATTTGCTATAATAGACACTCTGAGATATAAAAGTAGTTGAATAGTTTTAAAATTTAATGTGTATCTATTAGCACTATTGACTATTAATTGGATATATTGTAATATATTAGTAGTTAACTATATACAGTTAGATCTCTCCATAGTTACCTTCTCTATAGTCATATTTGCTCATAATAGTTGATCTTTAGTATAGGTAAGCATATATAATTATTATATAATTATAACATATATAACTTAATTATTTTAAACTAGTTTAAGTAATTTTATAAATTTTAGGAACAGGGTTAAGGTTAGAGTTTAAATTAGCTCATATTAGTTAGGTTTTATATATTATAATCTTGTAATAATTTATATATACCCATCTATACTAAAGGAGATCCCTTATAATTATATAAATTTTTAAAACTAACTTATATAGTACTTGTAAAATTTAATCTCTATATAAGTACAAACTCTTAACCTCACCTTTAAAAAAAAAAAAAAAATAAGTACAAACTCTCTATAAGCACCAAATTCTTAAAACCAAAGGTGTAATTATAGAGAAGTTTGATTGTATTATTTTGTAATTGTTGGAGCCTTATTTGTATAGTAATTCTTAAAAGATTAGGATTGTTAATACATTAGTAAAAGTTGATAATATAGTGTTGAAGTTGGATATCCCAGATATTAGAATATTATAGAAATATAGGTTAAGTATAGTACTATTCTGAATTGATCTTGATAAGTAGAATTTATATTTATATATAGTAAGATATTTAGCTAAAATATTGTTATATATTAAATATAATAATATGATATTATATATTCTATATTCTAATATAGAAATAATGACTATATTAATGATATAAGTAATTTGCTTGTCTATTATTTTTTTAGTACTAGTTGTGTAAGTAAGTTAGAGTGTTTTATTTTTAATTAATTTAATTTGTTAAGTATATTTTTTATTGGCAAGTATAAACCAACATCTAAAATATTTGAATAGTTGGTTAATTGAGATTGATTAAAGTGTGGAGTGAAAAAGAATATTGATGTTGGTTTAGAATTTGTAGGAAAAATAGATTTAGAGAGATTTATTTAAAGATTAGCTATTTGATAAAAGGATGTAGCTGTTTGAGTAATTGATTCAAGTTGCTCTTTTGAATTGACAATCCAAAATGTATTATCTATATAGGCTAATACAGATATAGAGGTTTTTAATTGTTCTTGTTTGGAATGTGTAAGTTGAGTTTTTCAGAAGGTTGATAAAGTATAGCTATTAAAGTTGTTAACAATTTTATGAATAAGTAGATTATAGTAGATTCTCTAAAAGAGTAGTGTAATAGGTTTATTTTTAACAAAGTAAGAGCTAGTAAGCCCAAAGTTTGTAATAACTTTGTTGTGATGATTTAGGAGTAGATTGGTAAGAATTTGAATAAGTTTAGTTAGCATATTAATATATATAAAAAATTTTTCAAAGAGATTTATATTAACTGAATTATATACTTTACTCATATCCTGAGATATAAGCCAAAGTTGTTTAAAGTTACAGAAAGCATCTTCAATAATATTATTAAAGATATATAATAAAATTACTATATAATTGTCTGGAAGAACAATGTAGTTATAAAGAGAAAGTATTAGATATTTTGTAAAAATTTGATTAAAACAATTAATGATAAGTTTGATATAAAGTTTTTTAATATTCAAAGAAACTGATAAGCCTAGTATTAATTAGATTACTATAATGCATACACCAACTCAGAGTAATAGCTATATACTGGAAGTAGAAACTAAAGTAGTATAGTGTCACTAGAGTTGGAGTAACTCTCTAAGTGCAACCAGAATTGTTCTGTGCTATGATGTTCTTTGGCTAGAAGCTTGTACTATATAATTGTATAATATTACTAGGGTCAGCAGTTTTTGGCTTGAGAAACAGATTTTTCTGTAAATCTTAGACAAATATTAAAATATTTTAGAGAACTAATAACAAGCATATCAAACTAGGAGATCATAAAGATCTATAACTCAAAGGTTATTAAAAAGGTAAAAGATGCAGTAAATATAAGTATAGCTAGATATAATAATAATAAAAAGCTAAAAAATCTATATATATATGAACTAATACAAAAAAGCTTTGTTTAGAAAAAGCTTCTAAATCTGATAATCAGATTCCTAGCACTATCCAAAAGAGTTAGTGAGAGGCTGATTATAAAGTCAGCCAAGTATAAATAAATCATATCTGGGTGCTTTATATAAGTAGACAGATAAGTCAGTACTTATATTAATATACATATACTTCTTTAATTAGGTTATATATAGTAAAATATAAATTATTATTCAATATTTAATAAAGTTGCTGGTGAGTTCACCGAAGTTTTAAAAAAAAGTATTAATTAAGTTACTATTAAAGATTAGTTTTTTGAAGATAAGGTAAATTTTACCTTCCTTTCATTATTTAGAAATATTGTTAGTAGTGATGCATCTATTGAATAGAGCAGTGATAGCTAATAAAAAAGAATAACTAGTATGTTTGAGCATTTCATAGCTTATATCTAAAGGGCTATTTGCTTTGTTGTTTGGTAGTTAAGCAAGTATAATAGAGATATTATTAATAGTAAATTCCTTAAAAGCACTATTATACCAATTAGAGTTGATATCTGTATTGGGAAGGTATTCTTCTTGCTATATAGAATTATACTCTGTTAGTTAATAGGTCTATAATCTGTCTATTTATCAAAGTATTGTTATATATAGATCTTGATTTTTGAAGTATTAATGATAATGTTATTGGCAGTTTTGATATTTACAAATTTTACTAGATCTTTATAATAGTTAGAATGCTATTGATTATAGCTTTTAAATTAGATAGAAGTTTATCATATCTCTTAGTAATACTATTATTGAGCTGTTATCAAATTTCTTTAAT